GACAGAGAGAGACATAGAGACAGAAAGCGAGAAATCACCCCCCAGGGGGGATGGTCACGCCGCAATCCCTTCTCCTCCATTCTCCTCTCGGGATCTTGGGCACGCACGCACACGCGCCCGGCGTGAATTTTAAGCCACCGGGTCCGGGACACGAACCGCGGTCGACTACGTGGGAGTCCAGCGACATAGCCATTACGCTAACTGCTGGTTCCCTACTTGTTAACTTCTTGAAAATTTTAACAACAGGAACCTAAAAATATAAATAGTTTATTCAGATAAATTATTTTTAACTCCAATCTTTTAAAAACATTCTGAAATAATATATTTGATTATTCATATTGTTTGCTCCATTTTTTCCCTCACTGCATTTATTGTCTTCAGAGTGAGAAGTATTCTCACAGAGGTGTCCATTCTATCTTCACAATCTGAATCAACAGAAAACCAGAATTACTACAAAGAGCGGAAAACTACCTTTACACCTTGCTTCTTGAATGAAACATTTTTCTTTCAATTACCTATCACTATTCCACTGCACTTTGTCATCTGTCCCACTTTCAGCTGAACAAATCACTTTTGTTCACCCTTTAAATTCTTCCATTAAGTAATTTCTCTGGTAAAATTTATTATGAATCGCTTACATTATCTGAATAAAGTGATGTAACTTCATGAGAGACTACATACTCTCTGTATCTATTTGCTCCATCATTGCATAATTATTTTCTGGAAGTGCAATCCCTTTTTTCTGTTCCTATCTTAGATCGGTATTTTCAAGTGTAAATATTACAGACAGGTAAATTTTCTCATGCTTATTATTTCTAATAAAACAAATAATAGCTTATTATTATGTTGGTAATCCTCATGCATAGACTTAGTACCCATGTGCTTACTACCACAGGGAAATGGATCGAACAAAATTGGAGATGCTAATAACCCTTTGGAGAAGATGTGAAATAATGTGTTTTCTAATTCAGCAAATATTTATTAAGCACTTGGTATGTTTAACTATTGTTCCAGTTGCTAAAACACAAAGATGAATAGAAATTCTATTCATAAAACAACCATATATAATTAATTGAGCACAAACACAAACAGTAAACCAAGAAAGGTAAAAAATAACAAGTGGACCAGCCTACATGATTAGTGAGGAACCTTCCAATTTTCTTTTTTAATGTTTACTGTAGTTCTCCCTTTGCACTCTGATATGAAAACTCACCTGGCTGAGCCCCACAGTACCATTACTTTGAGTGCACAAGCAATTTGTTCACTGTGATCTAAGAGGAAAAAGACTTCCCAGTGGGTAAAGCATAGATGCCATGACACTTCCTGTGTAACCCTATTAAACTTCCTCTCTGGGTGTTACGGCTTTGAAGAGGTTCCATTTTAGTCAGGTCACATTCCTTATCCAGTGGGCTGCACAAGGTTAAGGAATCTGTAGCTTTTCTAAGAATAAATTGGTCTCGATTCTATATCTACTTTCTATCTGCTTGTTGAGAAGGGTTGGAGAGTGAGGTTGCCTCAAAGAATTTGACCACCTAAGAAACAAAGGCCCTTTCATCTGTGCTCTTGTCCTGTTTTTCCTGTTAAAGACAAACCAACAAACAAAATGCAAAAACAAAAAAATTCCCTCCTTCTCCCAATGTATTCTTTTTAAATAATCAAAGCTAGATAATGAACATTAAAACAAATAGAGATTGTAAAAGAAGGGTGGAGTCAAGTAGTGAATGGGGATGAAGGACTGAAGGAGAAAAGAAAGATACTAGAAAATCAGAGTGAAGATAAGTTCCAGCAATTGAAAAGAAAATTAGCTTTGAGATCCTGGTGACCAAAGCAAAAAATAGAATCACAATGGATTCTTAACTGATTATCAAGGGAGACAAAAATTTTCCTAGCTCTGAATTATTACAGGAATTCATCATCTGAGCCTTAAAATAGTGGTCATTTGGACAATACAATGGATGGAGACTGCATTAGCAATTTATTATAAGTTCTATTGGCCTTTCTTTGTTCTTTCCTAGATAAATCAAATTTAATATGTGAAAGTTGCATCTGCCATTCAAACTAGTGTTACACTAGAAAGTCCATGAAATATTTTTACATACTTTATTTATCTACTGCCAAATACTTCTAGCCCCCAATTCCCTACTCCATCATTAAAAATAGTTAACAAAATTATTAATAGTACAAGTTTTTCCCCACAATGAGACCAATTCTAAAAAGTAATGTGTGAATCCAAAATCTTAAACTGGGATGGAACCTGCTGGGTTACCTGTCCCAGTGGATCACAAACCTAGCTCTTAACACAATTACCTGGGAAGCTTTTGAAAAACTCAGATTCCCAAGCACAGCTCCTAAATATTCTGATTTAGTAGTTCAAGGTATAGACCCAGAAATTTTGTTCTTGTTAAAGAGATTCTCAGATGGTGTCAGACATTTAGGACTCCTTAATCTTATTTGTTCTCCCATATTAATAGGCATCATCTCTAAACATAGCTGGGAGTCTCTAAACATAGCCCAAACCATGCTGAGGGATACTCTGAATTCATGACAAAGGATGTGCTATGATGGGAAAGTTTTAATTGTTGACTCATATTTGTTTACTACTATAGTATATTTCAATGTTTTGTTTCATTCTGAATTAAACTTTAATTGTTAAGGGTTAATAACCATTTAAATTTCTCTGTTCCTGCAATCTGTGTGTCAAATATTTAATGATCTTGTTTAAAAATATCAATGCATCTGGGCTAGTAGGTAGCATGGTGGTTAAGGTGCTAGACTCCCACAAGGCTGGCTATGGCTCAAGTCCTGGACCTGGTGCCTTGAAAGTCATACTGGGCATGTATGTGTGTGTGTGTGTTCCCAAAGACCCAGGAGGAGAATAGAGAAGGGATTGTGGCATGTCCATTCCCCCTGGGGATGTGAGGAGATTTCTCACTTTTCCTCTCACTTTCTCTTATCTCTCTGGTAAGCACATAAGACCTATGGCAAAAACCTTAAAAAAAGAAGTCAATGCATCAGGGGAACTCTATTAACAGAATTCTTTAAGGAATTCCCTTATAAGGGAAATCATGCTAGTGGTTATTCATCCTTAAAGTGTATATATTCTAAGTTCAAATATACTAAAGTTGGCAAGTCCAGTACATTAGCTATGTCTCATACTGAAAAATTTTTTTTTTGAGAGATTTTTCACTGTAGGGCGCGTGCGCTCGCCAGACAGACAGAGAGAGACATAGAGACAGAAAGTGAGAAATCACCCCCCAGGGGGGATGGTCACGCCACAATCCCTTCTCCTCCATTCTCCTCTCGGGATCTTGGGCACGCACGCACACGCACCCAGCGTGAGTTTTAAGCCACCAGGTCCGGGACACGAACCGCGGTCGACTACGTGGGAGTCCAGCGACATAGCCATTACGCCAACTGCTGGTTCCCTCATACTGAAAAATTTTGAACATGCTTTACATTGCTAGTTTTAAACATCCTTTATACTGTCAAATTGCTAAATAGTTTTTCTTATAGAAATCTTTGATTTCCTTGGTTAGTTTTATTCCTAAGTATCTCATATTACTTGTGGCTATGGTAAATGGGATTATTTTCTTCAGTTCTGTCTCTGTCTGCTTGTTGATTGTATATGGAAATACTATAGATTTTTTTTTTTTGGAGAGATTTTCACTGTAGGGCGCGTGCGCTCGCCAGACAGACAGAGAGAGACATAGAGACAGAAAGCGAGAAATCACCCCCCAGGGGGGATGGTCACGCCGCAATCCCTTCTCCTCCATTCTCCTCTCGGGATCTTGGGCACGCACGCACACGCGCCCAGCGTGAGTTTTAAGCCACCGGGTCCTGGACGCGCGAACCACGGTCAACTACGTGGGAGTCCAGCAACATAGCCATTACGCTAACTTCTGGTTCCCTCAAATTGCTATCTTTACTGGAGGTAAATTTTAGTATTTTCAAATTTTTAAACAGAAGTTGCAAATATTTACTTAAGTAATTATTACTATTTTGACAGCTTTCCTTAAAAAGTCTGCCTCTAGAAAACCACTTTTATTTCACTACTTAAATCCCTGACGTTTAGAATGCAACCTGAAGATCTTATTTAACGTGAATAATAAACGACTGGAGTAATTTACAAGTTATGCATTTCAGATTAAGTGAATAACAAAGAAATAAAATTTCACATTAAAGCACTGAATATATCCTCCTAAGAAAGATTCATTACACATGTATGAGTCTCTTGTGGTAAACAGGACTATGCGAAATGGCGTTCAGGTAGATGAAAATAAATTAATTAGATCTGTCAGATTCCTCAAGGGGAAAGAAATATACAAAAGAGCAATTATTCTGTAACTGCACATTAGGAGGGCTAGTTGACTGTGGAACTGTTTTCTCCATTCTTCACATTTTTAAATATAAATTGATTGAGTTTTTCAATATAAGCAGTCTTTGGAAGAATTGAGTGAATGATTATGCTAGATGAGATCTCTCACTCAGGGATGTCAAAGCATGTGTTGCTGAAGGCAATGTAATGTTTTCAGACAGATTGGTATTTGGACATTCTTTTATCAGTGCGAAATACAGAAGTTAAAATCCTGCCTCATTCTAGGGAACTCTGGAGTCAGAAAGCAATCTCGGCATCGGGTCATCATTCAACTGCCAGTCAACGGAGGCCGGGACTGCACAGATCCTCTCTATGAAGAGAAGGCCTGTGAGGCCCCTCAAGTATGCCAAAGCTACAGGTAATAGAGAAAAGGCATTGTGAGCCACATGCCCGGCAAATACTCCAAATCCCATTCTTTCAGAGGTTGAGGAATGGAAGGCAACATTGTTCTTTCCAAGGCTCAGTGGGGTTGGAGATGTTTATGGCTATGGTTACCATTTCCTCCTCTTCTGGAGAGCTGCTTCTTTAAAGCTGTGTTATTAGCTCCAGTAGTTTGGAGAAATGTATTATATTGATATAATAAATGCAGAAAAGTGGTTAGTAATTATGAAACATACATTTTAGGATTCTTTTTTTCTTAGGAAAAGAGCCATTTCTTCCCTGGATCCAAAGAGCACCTGTTTCATAGATGATGGTATTCTGGCTCAGGAAATAACATCTCTATTTCAGTGATGCTAGCAGGATGTTTGTTCTGTTCATTGTGATCACTCCACAGAAAATTAAAGCTATTGAAGCTGTATATCATCTTGATAATTTATTAGAGAAACTTGGCCTCCTCATCATTAAGTCAGAAAATATCTAATTGAAATGATGTAGTATATAATTGTAATCCTGACCACAAATTAAATATTATGGCATCAATTAATGGCATATATAATCACTAAATAATTATTTAAGGTGAAATTGATGGCCCCCTTGCCATGCAATACACCTATCTTTGATTCTGAGTTGACAACTGGTATAATTGCATATTTGCACTATGAACATTGACAATTATTAGCCCAAACTTATTTATTTTGAGCATTTTGTTTTGTTTTTATGAAGAGCATTATAATGGCAGTTGCTGAGATACTCCTACAGTGCTAACCGAAAGAACACTTTGCAAAAGGCTCATGACTTGAATGCTGTTTTATAACTTGAAAATAATAAATTTATCTTATTTAAATATAATGGCTCACATCTGATGCTATCTGGTACATCATTTCACAATCCTAATCATCAAAAGGCTCAATGTTCTCTGCAGAGTCCATTCCAATAGAACTTGACGATGATGTGCTCCTATCTTCACTGTCAGAGATAGTACTTTCATATTTATGTTGCTTTATATAAGGCCTCAATGGAGATCTAAATTTAATTTGCATAGATCTGAGCATTGTGAAATATATTTCAATTAGTAGTGGTCAAGTTATTTCCATGCTGTTGTATCTGTGAACTGCCTGGCATTTTTGCTTCCTCTCCACTGGGCTTCTGTTTTGTTTTGTTTTGTTTTGTTTTGTAGGTGGAAGACTCACAAATGGCGCAGGTGCCAATTAGTCCCTTGGAGTGTGCAGCAGGACAGCCCTGGAGCACAAGAAGGTTGTGGGCCTGGACGACAGGCAAGAGGTGGGAAGCCCCATTTGCCAGTTGATTTGTTTCTCATTACTCTAACGTCATTAGCTTAACCACTATCTTGATGTATTTGATACTTTGACACCATGCTTAGCGAACAGCAGAGGATTTAAATCTGCTATGACCCATTCTACCAAACACTAAAACGAAATGCTTTAAAACTCTGTCGTTTGTTCTGTGGCATTATCCCACAACTCCTAAAATTTTTCCTCCCTTATATCTGGAAGAAAATCAAATCAAACTTTTAGTTATGACATAGATGATACACTGAAGCTTGGTTTTTCTCTTTGTTTTTAGATCAAAGTATTCCATAATATGTTGCTACCTTACTTAGCAATCAATAAAGTTCTTACATCCCGGCCTATGTACATTACATATGTGTATCATACAATGTGACATAATTGGTTAACTTTCCCAGAAATTCTGAACAATGACATTTCTAACATTGTCATGGCTATCCACAATCCTATTCATATTCTGTACTGATTTTGAATGTCAGATTTATTTACTCAAAACCTGCAATATGTGAAGTACAATCTGTCTGCACCACTAGATAACACAGAATCTTGCAAAAATGGGTGATGGAAATGTTTCAAGCCTGCCATTATTACTTCTTAGATAATATAAGGAATATGCAAATCCCAAGCTTTTGAATATGCTATTTATATAGGTAGGAAATTCAGTCTTTAAAAGGACATGATTGCTTTTACTAATAATACTTCTAGCCTATTATAGTTCCTTGGTAGGTGTGTAAAAATGTAGTTTAATATGTAGTTGGATATACAATGACCTTCCACCTAAAGATATTTTTGCTCCCTCATCTGTAGTTACATATTTCATGATGAATCAAAAGTCTAAACATATAGAACAAAATTTTCATTTTTGCTGATTTGATCTAGGATCCCATTTTCTTTAGGGTGAAAAGCTTCCTTTTTAATTTTGAGGAAAACTGTTTCTTTTTTGTAAAAATTCTTCTATTTTTATGATCTTCATTTCAGAAGCCTTCATTGGAAACAAATTTAACAGACAAATAATATGAACTACCCAGTGACTTTCAGAATTCCATTTTACTTTCATCATCTTCATTATGTATCACCCACCATCAATTTTGGGTAAAAAAATAACTAGCTCCTTTCACAGTTTTGGAGATATAGGTGTGTAGAATTGGTGTGTAGTCATTCTCTGCATTTCAAATCATTCTTGAGAAACTGAGTGATAAAAAAATCTTATTATACCCTGCTAATTCCCCCATGAATCAAGCATACATTTATTTACATTTTAGAGCCTATATAGGGTTTATAATAAAAGTAAGCATGGATTTGGGAACCAGGAAACAGTTTCAGCTAAGGTTCACATAGTAATGAATTATGGCTCTTGGTCATTCCTTTACCTTTCTGGGTCTCAGCTTATTTAGATGAAAAACTAAAAAAGGAAAGGAAAGGAAAAGGAAGGGGGGGATTGAACCAAATGACTTGTTAAGACAATTCCTGTTTTCATATTCTATAATTCATGCATAAAGATCAAATACCCAGAGAACAAAGTGTGAAAAGAAATTATGTAGATGGGTAAAAGGCATATTTTTTTAGAATACCATTGCAGAATATAGAAGATATAGTAAAGACAGTGCAAGTGTGAAAACAAGTTCAGTTCTAAACTCTTATTACCTGTAAGTAATAAGAGTTGGACCTTGGCTGACCTCGTGTGACCTTGGCTGCTTCATTTCTTCCCTTCGAGGCTGAGAACACAAAGGCCTTATGGCACTTAACTGATATTGTCTTAATGAAATATTCCTTCCTTCCTTTTTCTGGTTTATAGCTGCAATGAATATATACGTATGTCATAGTAGGCATGAACACAACAATATTAATGTGAGCCTTTCATTTTTTGACACGTAGTCTATATGGAAACTGTTTTTTCTCTGATTACTGATGATCTTTTCCTTTCCAAATATGAAAGCCCCTGTTTGTTCTTCAAACCAGGTGACTGTTTTGTAAAATCTCATATTATTCCTCCCTCTGTGAAAAGGGGTCTTTGACTTCCTGGACACTGCTTTCTCCTGCCTCTCTGACTGCTCCCTGGTTTCCTATTACTGGCACCTCTTCCTCTGCCTGTACTTAAATACTGCTTTCTAATTTTGGCATATTTGCCAGACTGTCACTCTATTTCTGCAATTTTATCCATTTTTGAGATACCTAGGATGATGATGATAAAGTCACATTATAACAAGTGATTTCTGCATAGATACTCAAATACTCAAAATAACCCCTTTAACTTCCATATGAAGACTGTTTTTCTCTGTTGCCTTGGTAGATGAACTCTTGTATTCTTACAGGGTCTATTTTTACAAAAATGTGAATTAGGGAAGATTGCGAGTGTAGAATTAGGCTGGCCCCATAGCCTTCTGGTTAATAAAGACGGATCCCACATGCTGTCCATGATTGAAATCCTTTTCCCAGTGACTTTAAAAACAGACCAAGCACATGTATATACATGCCCAGAATTCTGACAGACTGGAGAAATGGAGATGGGATTGTGGCTTGCGTGTAACTGTTTTCCATTAGGGAGTTCTCTCTAGCCTCTCTTTTTCTTTCTTTTTTTCTCTCTCTGCCTTTCTCAGGTGAGTTCATGCCCTCTGGCATTTTTTTTTTTTATGAGAGGTTTTTGCTACAGGGCATGTGCGCTTGCCAGACAGAGAGAGACAGAGAGACAGAAAGCGAGAAATCACCCCCCGAGGGGATGGCCATGCTGCAATCCCTTCTCCTCCATTCTCCTCTTGGGATCTTGGGCACGCACGCACACGCGCCCAGCGTGAGTTTAAGCCACCGGATCCAGGACTCGAACTGTGGTCGACTACAAGGGAGTCCAGCGACATAGCCATTACGCTAAGTGCTGGCCCCGCTCTGGCAATTAATAAAAGCACATTGAAGGTTTTTTTTGGCTAATGACAAGAAAGCATTTTTTTCCTTTGATTGTCATGAATTCTGTATTACTGATCTGGCAAACTCTTGACACTTTCATTTTTTTCCTTATATGATCAGAGACTAAAATTTTACAATAGCAAAAACTTGCACTTTTTAAAATTATTAAAATAATTGTGTAGTGAGCATTAAATCAATCAAGACAGAGAAGTTACTGCCATCCTCTCTAGGACATTAGACTTTCTAATTCCAATTATTCACCCCACTGTGGTTACATTCAGAAGACTATGTATGTAGAAAGAACCATGGATGTTTGGAAAGATGAAGATACTCAAACCAGAGAGTTTACATTCATTAGGGAAATACTAGTGAACTCATCCAACAAGTAGGAATTAAAGACTTAAACTGATCAACTGCAAAACCAATCACTTGAAGCTAAATAGCTGAGGAGAGACTTGAAGGATGGGCTGATAGTTGACTTTCCTCATAATATTAGAATAAGCAGAAAAGATAAAAGAATACAAAATAGAATCATTTTTATAAACTTAAGCATTTGAGATAAGACAAAACTAAAACATTAGAGGTGCTCGCGGAAAAGTGAATAGATTGAAGCACTGAAGATGTGAGCTGAAGCCTCAGGTGATTTTGTGAAGAGCTATAAATGTCAGGATCAGTGTCTTAGACCTAGTTCGATAAGTGGAAGGAGTAAGGATGCGATAAAAGCAGTGTTTTATCTGTCGACATGTACAGAATAAATCAGAAAGATAAGATATTTGGGCCTAGATTCCAGCTGGGATGCTGTTGTAGTAACTCAAGGTTCAGGTACTAGGTGCTCATCCCGGAACCACAACAGTGGAAATGGGAAAAAAAAAATGAATTTTGGACATAGGATGAGGAAAGTCTTTTTGTAATTTAGTGACAGACAACAGGAAGGTGTGATAGAAATAAGAATCGAAGATAATCATGATTTTTCAACATTTTTAGCTTAAGAATAGTAATATTGTGAAAGTTCTTAGGTCTGAAAGAAGAGTTAATTTTGGAAAATGTCTTGTGTGTGTGTGTGTGTGTGTGTGTGTGTGTGTGTGTGTGTGTGTATGTGTGCGTTTGTATGTGTGCGTGTGTATTTGCATTTGAGGCCATGACAGGATAGCCAAGTAGAAATATCCAGGTATGCATTTTAAATATAATAGTGTTCTGTAGAAGTAGCTTAGGATGGAGATAAAAATTTGGGGTAACATTTCCATAAAGTGATTTGCTGAAGCCATAGGAAAAGCTAGTATCTCTAAAATACATTGTATATAAAAGAAAAAGCAATTGCATTTTACCATTTACAGATTTGTTTTTCTCTCAGTGATTCGCATTTGTAGGCTCTTGAAACATATCTTCTCATTTAAATAATTTAGTTTGAATGTTATTAATTTTTAAAATTCTTATATCCTTATAGCACATTCAGTATAAAGCAAATTAGTGAGAATCATCCTTACCTAGCAATGAGTTATAACAACATAGGAAAAAGAATATAAAAATATCCTAATACGATCCAGTAAGTTTAGTTTTGAGTAAGTTTATGTTTTACGTGTCAATATTATATGAAAATATTTTCTGATCACATTAAAATACCAAGTACTTTAAAAGAAAATTAATATATTCCTGAAATGTGGAAAAGTATATAGGAATATGTGTTTATTTATGACCTGCTTTCTTTACATTTAAAAGTGAGGTCTCCAGACTTAAACTGGGAACACTCTCATGTGACATTGACTCACAAAACATCATGTTTTATCTCTGTGTCACTGTCTGACTCCTAACTTCCACCATCTTTTCTCTCTGTTCACATTTCCACAGTTCAGATGGTATTTATAAAGCTAAATTATTGGTTGGTCAGTTATTATATCATTGACAACTGGCCATAATAGCTATAGATTTTTCATTCAATATAAAATATATGGCTCATAGTAATGACAATTTTGGATGATTTGCTTATTTTTTCCTCTATGACTGCACTGAAGAACAATGTCAATCACTGATACTTAAATGTGTTTATCTTTCTAGATTATTACTGTGTGACATGTTTAT